TGGGAATTGGGTAGCACTGAATTGCATGGCTCCAGTTGGGACGTTATCAGGTCAAATCGATTGCTTTCAGGGAGGGATCAAAATGCACCCAATTACAGAACCTACTGAAACTCAAACACATTTGAAGCAAAGCATACATGTAAATATAAAACCCCGGTGTTTTGTTGTACTTCTAGCAGGGAACACACTACAGATTTGTGTGATTGTAATGATTTTCAATGGAACTTAGCAAATGACAAAGACCTGAGCTCAGTCATAGATCCATGTGGTCCAAACACATCAGTGCTGGATCAAACACAGACCAATGAGACTGTTTTCACTCCCTCAAAGGCAATATCCACAACAGCAACAACTATCAAGATCAAGGTGCGCGATGGTTCATTGCCACGGAAATACGTGGTTGTTTTTTGCCTTGGTTTTATTCTCATAACTGGTTTAGCCATTCTTGTGATTGTATTATTACGTAAATCAAGAAAATCAGAAGACAAATTCCTCAGATATGCACTGAATTCAACACCAACTCAGAATCGAAATCTATATGAATGTCTTAAACTTTCACACAATGCAGGTGTAAACAAATGGTCCCCCCAGCGTTCAACAACACTTTGAACAAGACAAGTGCGACTGCGTCTTCTATATGCCTCCGCCCTAAGTTCAGTATAGGAAATTGATAGAATTATTCTTGACATATCACAATGAAGAAAAAAGCCTATCTCTTGTGATTCTTGAGATATCGCAATAGCAAGGCTAATGGAGACCAATGAGACTGTTTTCACTCCCTCAAAGGCAATATCCACAACAGCAACAACTATCAAGATCAAGGTGCGCGATGGTTCATCGCCACGGAAATACGTGGTTGTTTTTTGCCTTAGTTCTATTCTCATAACTGGTTTAGCCATTCTTGTGATTGTATTAATGCTCAGATCAAAAAAATCAAAAAAGAAATTTTTACTCAAACTAGCACTAAATTTCAGACCAAGTCAGGATCGAAATCTATATGAATTTCATAAACCTACATCCAATGCAAGTGTACACAAAAGCTCCTTCCAGCGTTCAACATCAATTTAAAGAAGACAAATGCGACTGCGTCTCTTTTATGTCTCCGCCCTAAGTTCAGGGAAACTCTGACTTTGAAGGTGTTATATGGAACAATTAAATGCAATATAGGTAAATATAAAACTAATATTTTGATATAATAAGCATATTTACTATTTACTAGTATGTAATCAACCACAAGTGACAGTTTCTTTCTAAATGAAACTACATGACCTGAACAGAACATTATTTGTATCTTCGTAAGGGACCAACCATCTTCAAAATTGATTTGTGTATAATCAGTTTATATGAACAAAACAAATATTTTGGTCTGTTTTGTCGAAAGCATGTAATGCACTTACCAACCCTTCTCTATCATCAATGTATTGTTTGCTTGTTTTTGTTATGTAGCATAATTTATAGCAATTACCAATTGGCCTACTTAATTCTTTACATTGTTAGACTAACTAGTCCATTAAGCAATGACAAAAGTAGTTTATTTACACTATTTACACATTGTCTGCAGCATTCTATTTTCTATAGATGCACTTTGCTAAATGCATTGTTTGTTTGATATATTTGGTAAATTGGTTCATACTTCACCGCGTGATAGGAAACTGTTTAGCCAGGATCATGTTACTTGTATCTTGTTACGAACCTCAAACAAATTCATGTAGGTTAATTATGAGCATGAGCAGAAGACTTGCTTGAAAAGGAGTGATTTTGATTAAAACCTACGACTGTGTTTGTCACAGGTAATACATAATTTTGTTTTGTACTCATATTGTTGCTAATGTTGTGTTGTGAAGCACAGGGAAATGTGATTTTATAATCTATTGTCACCTTGTTGAGACAATCTATTAATGAAGGCTTCACATTGCTCAGAAGACTCACATTGCTCAGAGAACCAGAAACCAGAACCAAACAAAAATATTCCTCCAGATGTTTCTTTCCTTAAGTTTTTGAAAATGAAATGTAATTTTTTTTTAAAGCTTTTACTATGTTTTAGAATTCAAATTTATTTTGGGCTCTTGCTGTAAAATAATATTTGTAGCCTTTTTATTTCCAGACTCGCATTGGTGTTACCATGTATTTGCTTTTGTAATAAAACAATTATTTGATTTATAATCTTTATTTTATAGAATTCAAATACTTTGAAAAATATTTACATAACTTTTAAGGTATATTCATTTCACAACTAAAACAAAATATGTTGGCCTTTTCCAAACAGTTTGCTGTACATGTACTTGGGAGAAATAGAGAGATGCCATCATATTTTCACTCTTATCTATCGCCAATGTTTTGTTTTCTATTATGGACTTTTGAATGCATCATCTTACCAACAAAATTGAAAAATAAGGATCTGAAAGGTTAACCACATGCTGTACAATTGGTACTACCAGCAGTGAACTGGGTCATTGTACGTAGCTGAGCAAGTACATGTAACAATATTGAATGGCACATGACTGGATTGTGATACTTCTTCAATGCTTGTTTTTATTTGTAGAATAAGGAAATTGCCAACAATACTCACTTCAATGCTGGTTTTGATTTATAGAATAAAAAAATATGTCAACAGTACGTTCTTCAATGCTTGTTTTGTTTTGAAGAATACAGAAATTGCCAACAATAATTTCTTCAATGCTTGTTTTGTATTTTGGCCCGTCTTCTTTTTTCTTTTTTTTTTGGGGGGGGGGGGGGAGGCAGGGGGGGGGGGGAGGAGGGGCAAGGTCCGCTCGGGCCCCTGGATCTGCGCCTGACTCTAACATGATGTGACTCACTGCCATGCAAGGATGATGTTGTGATTGCCTGGAATAAGTCAATATCGAACAAAAAGATAAATTTATTGGACTGATAATATTTACAAAATATGAAGAAAAAAAATACAAAGATATCCCTCAATAAGGAAGGAGTGTTTTTTAGCAGGTGAAAGCAGGCGTGTAGCTTGGGGGAGGGGCGGTGGGGCGGTCCCCCCCCCCCCCCAAAAAAAAAAAAAAAAAAAAAAAACGCGGCCCCCAAAAAGAGAGAGAGAGACGAGAAATAAGTAAGAGGACGTAGGAAGAAAAAGGAGCAGACATAGACACATTGTATAAAATTCAGAAAGGGATTATGGAGTCGTGTACGGTGAATCGAATCGTCTTCTTTCTCGAATAATTTAATGAAACGTCAAAGCTTCCGCGCCTCGCGCGGGAGGGGGGGGGGGAACTGAATTCAGACACAAAATAAGAGTCGAGAACGGTACAACAAATTGCCTTCTTTCCCTAACAATTTAATGAAACGTCAAAGCTTTTAATGAAATTCCCCCTCCCTGCACCCACCCGCGCTTCGCACGCTCTGTAAGTGATTCGCACGTTAAGCGGGCTCACTACCCCCCCCCCCCCCCTCTAAAATTAAATTCTTTTACACAAGCGCGCTTGGGTAAAAGAATTTAGAGAGATAAATGGATACATTCAAGAGGAGCTTTATGCAAGAACTGAAAGATGATAACTACGAACCTGGGAACAATTTTGCACTGCAGTTCTAATTTAAGGGTAGAAATTATATGAATTCACAATTCTGAAAATTTCTGAAAAGAAGAAGGATAAGAAAAAGTAGGAGAATAAGAAGGTAAAAGAGGAAGAAGGAGAATAAGAAAATTAACACATAAAGGCAAAGAGACAGAAATACACAAGGAGGAGGGCACAGAGAGGGTGAGTGTGCGTGCGTCTGTGTGTGTGGGTGTGGGTGTGTGTGTGTGTGTGTGTGTGCGCGTGTGTGTGTGTGTGTGTGTGTGTGCTGGGGGGGGTAATAACCTTATTAAGTAAGAAAACCTGTCAAGAGTTTGAGAATGCAACAATCACACTATTTACAGGGAGATTGAACACGGAAAGATCGATAGAAAGAACTCAAAATAGCCCTCAGACTGAGAAATCTATCTTTAATAGCGGTAACAGATAGAACACGACCTTAATATTGGAAACAAAATGTATGGAATGATACCCATACGATATATATGATATTATTGACTTTGAAACACATTTCTGATCCAGAAAATTTAACGAATCCATCTGGATAATAAGGATTAGTCCTTCACTGAATAGGACTAGCTTTTCATTGTCACCTATCTTTGCTACAGTGATCTCAAGGCATCAGACAGTAAGATACTGTATGAATACTCACTTGGCTTGACAAAGTCCACAGGAGTGGATAAAAAGTTTGCCTGTTAAAGTTTTTGTAGAAGCTTGAATATATGTTATCTTTAAAATGGTAAAAATATATTTGCAATCAACACACTAGAAAAGCTATAAAATATTGTATGCGGGTACCTCGTCGCTAAATGTGAATCACTAATAATAACCTTTATACTTGTATATAAGGTTATTCGGGCTTCTCGTTGCACAGATTTACCTCCGGGGGGGGGGGGTACTCACATATTAGGACATACGGGGGTAAGCTAAGCTCAAAGTATGACAACAGACACATGAACCAGAAATTAAACCCCCATTCTCTCTCTCTCCCTCAGTCACTATTTTTATTCCCCTTAATTTTTCTTTCTCATTAATTCTCTATCTCTCTCTCAATAAAATCCTATCATGATCCACTTCAACAGCATGATGAAAGATTTAAATAACACAATCCTCTAATTCATCAATATCGAATATCAAATAAAACAATAACCCACTTCTTTTTACACAAATGTGTTCTCACAAAAGTGACAAACATTTATTATCCTTAAATCCTTTCCCTTCTTCATACACATCATCTGTACATTATAATTGCAGTTGAAAAAAGTAGCTTTAATAATCAGGAATCAAGATGCGACTCATTCAAATACTTGTAAACTGAAGGTTAACATATCAAAGGACATACTGAAAGAGGCTACAGGAAGATAACGTTCACATTTCCCTACAAACAGGCATCTATAGATTAGAGACTGTAATAAGTATCATAATAAGTGTCTTCCTCTCTTGAAAGGACCTGGATTTTTCAACTTTAACAATATTTTTCCACCTCTTTATTGTCATTGCCCACTTTGCTTCTTGAATTGAATCAGAAAAGTCTCTTCTTTCTCCTCACGTTTCAGAACTTTCTAACAAATACATTAAATGCATTGATTTCAATAGCTTACCAACTCATCAACTCTTGTCGCTAGTTATCTGTATCAAATTTCATGAAACTTTAACTCTGGAGCTCAAATTCAAAATAAATTGATGGAAAAATATACGTCCTGCACATTGCCTGTTGAGATCCAGAACAATGTTAAGTCACTTAAAAATATATAAGTCAATGCCCTTTTAGTTTTGTGGTCCAAAAATACAAATTCATTAACCATATAATTCATAATGCACTTTGTCAGTAGTACTCAAGAGCTTTAAAAATACATGTACATATGTGTTCTAATAAGTTCTGGAATTGAATGGCAAATCATGAACATTAAAATGACAGTAGGATGTGCACTGTTTGATTCTTAATCACTGAATTAAGAAATTGGTGATGCTTTCTGACTTGTGGATTTGATCTAAATCACTTTCCACCTTGTACTGTGCTGTGTGTATTCAGGCAGTAGCCTAGGCTTGAATGTTCGTTTTTTACGTGCTTTGTCTTGTTATATTCAATACAATATGTGGCAAATTTATTATTTAAAAAAAATCAGTAATTCAGACACACTATGTGAGTTTTTTTTTCTGAATCCAAATGAGATATAATGTGTGATGATCAATTGGAAAATATAAATCTTTAACAAAAATGCAGTAACATAAAGGTTAAACAAGCAATTTACATAGACTTTTGAATTTGCACATACATGTACATAATTTCTGTCCTAAAAAACATGTTCATTGAATTGTACCTTTAATATCATATGCGGTTATTAATTTGTTTATAAAGATTTACAGTAAAATGAACAGCATTTACATATACAGGTCTGTATATCACTGCTTTCAAAATGTATGAAGAGAAGAGGGAAGAAATAAAAGGAAGGATTATGGGGGAAGAATAAAAGAATTACAATCAACAAGATTGCAAAGGATTCAAGTTACACATTATGATACCTATTTCTGTTACGCACCTTGAAGAAATACATCTTCATAAGATATTCAAGCCCAAGTTTTGTCATGATACTCAAGAAGCTGTGTTTATAAACATGCCAAACCATTGGCAAGTCTCTAAGACCCTAAAATAGCTCTGTGTAACTGCAGTGAGCAACTACATTACACGTGTATGTGGGTTTTTTCTTCAGGAATACACACTTTACATGAAATTCATGAATGCAACTTTGTCTTCTCTGTACAGTAAATGTTAAATGACTTGGTACTTTTGAAAAAACGGAAGAAAAACAGTACCATGCAGGGTTCAATTTTGAAAAAGGGGATTGGAATATATAAATAGTTTATGTCATTCTTTTGTTTTCCTGTTTCCTGCAGTTCATAAATCCACCATGATTATGTACATTCAGCTATACAGTGTGTCCTATTTCCCTCCAAAGACTCCGCCCACTTCATCGTCTTCTCGTACTCCCATGCTCTGTAGAGGGCAGAAGAGACAGAGACATCAGACATTAATGGAAATGAAAATGAATGAGATAATCATAGCATTGTAATTTTAAGGAATTAAAACTATTCACACTCTCATCTTTTTGAAGTCTAAGCCTTATTGTCAACCTCTAAAATGTAACTTGTTTATGAAACATTTAGTGGCTTCCCCGATTTGTGGAAATGCCTGTACATTACAAATGACTAGGTATACAAGTGGAGTAAAGGACAAGGATGACCCAACAACTAACCCCCAGGAGTTCTATCATTCAACTTTTCATCTATCATTACCAACCCCTGCCCCCTCCGAAAAGTATCCCAACCCCCCCCCCCCCCCCCCACTTAATGACTACTTGTACCCTTTCAAGGATTGGCTACATCCCACTATTATACATCCCATCAGACAGAACTGCTCATCTGCCTAATCCTGAAAGTTATCAAGAAATTTACAAGGCTGACAACCTATGAGACCAATCGCTCACCAGACCAACATCTTGCGAGCTGTCAGTCTCATGGCCTTTTGGTCTACTTGGGTATCCCAACTGGGATCACGAGTGCTATGCGCATGATCAGCAGCAATATCATCTCTCTCTGTAGTTTATCCTTTCATTCATTTTTGAAAGATTCTGTTGTATTTCCCTGCGAGTAATCTTCTATTTTGTTGTTGTTGGTAGTGAAACTGAGTGTATTGGGGAAAGTCCAATGTGTTTTCTTTTTATTTTACTGACTGCAGCACATGTTTTAGTGTCTCTCTTTCTGGCATCATTGACAGCCCTACTATCGCTTGGATCAGAGGAAAAACATCAAGGATAATGATACTATTGATGTTTATCATGCATTTAGATTTCCAAGATAATTGGTAACTTATGCAACACAAGAAGTCCTTGGATTTTTCATTAAAATAAATAGTTGTTTGATATCTCACCTTTTGAACATATTGTGGATTAACAGCTATCTCTTGATCCATGCTCTTGAGCTTCTCATCCAGACTGATACAATGCTGCATCTGTGATTCAAAATTTGTTAATTCAACATAAAAACATGACAGAATATAAAACATATTATCATGGACTTGGAAAACCCCTTAATTAACACAAACTCCCTCATTACTCAGATCTCAGCCTCCCCCTAACAATTACAGATGAAAAAGGGGAAATGATATGACTTTATGTTGTGACACTATTCAAAAGGAAAGTATACTGTTTTTCGTTTACTGATCTTTTGAAAAATCTATGATTTTTAAAGCTGTCTAGACACAGAAATGTACATATCTCGCAATTGTGCTTTCTGATTCTTCACAAATGAAGTTTATTTTTACATGAAATACAAAATGTACTTGAATCAACACTCTTCATGAACACTAATTATTATCAGTATTTATTAATAGCTATATCCTTGTAAAAGAAATATGAAAATGCACAAATTAACTGCCTATGCACCTTGTGTTCATCATGAGATATACCACTGGCTTCAACATTATTTAATTGTTTCCAGTACAAGACCTGTCTATACCCATGCTAAAAAAGGTTGCCATGGAGGTAATTAACACCCTAAATGGTATTTCGCAAAGCCATAAATTGTATTGCACAAAGCAATCCTTCAATCATTGATGCATATTGTTTTACACAAGTGCAAAATTGCATGTGTGGAAAATCAGTGATGCGCAGAAAGCAAACAAAGTGATAAAAATCTGACGAAGGATATGTGTGGTGGGGAAGATGAAATCTAAAATGCCTTCACATGAACATTCAACTGAAAACAACACTTCCTAACCTTTTTGTATACTCATCAATACACCCACAAATTCAATGTGACAAATTACAGGATTTGTTCTAAATTCAAAAGAAAAGTCCTATGAAGTAATTGCTCCGCTTTAGAGCTACGGCTATAAATGTTGCTTTCAGATAGGTGGAGGAAAATGTACTAACCTGTTGTTCGACGTGTCTGAGTACTGCAGGGTTGTCATATTTTTCTGGGTTGTCATGGAAATGGACCATTCCATTCTGTTTGCTGATAGTTGCATGGATCTCACCATCTTCAATCTGAAATATACAGTATCAAACAAAATGTGTTTACTTCAATTCAAAGTGCATACATATGTACATATCTCCTTGTAGCACCATTAATTTCAACCCCCAAAACTACACTACCACTGTAAATTTACACTTCAATCTAACATCCAATTCCATCCCAATTATCAGTTTAAACTGACATTCAAATTCTAGCTCTGATTGTTTCAAATCCATTTTCATCAAATGATCATCTATTGTAAGTCTTCAGTCAGGTACATATACATCTTTATCTATCTTCAATTCGATCCCTAAACCAAATTCTGATTCTAGAACTATGTATATTGCAAGTTGCTCCTTGACCACTCTACAAAACCTCTCAAAAATATTTAGTCATCAAAATCAAAATGAGAAGAGAAAATAAATGAGAAACTTAAAGACTTTTATTGATTGGTATTGAATACAGTTGTATAGTCCTGCAAATAAAATGTTCTCGAGGGGCAAATTTACCCTCGTAGGCCCCATTTTCATTTCATCACTCTGTTTTCTTACCATATTTCTGACATACTGCTCAGCCTCTTGCGGTGCATGTAGGTGAACTCTCCTTGCAATGTCACACAGAGATAACGTTAGGAAGGTATGAAGAGAAAGATCAATACTGACAATGAACATCCCCTACTGTACAACTCAATCTTCAAATCTACTGCACTAGTATGTCGCCCTCTTGTGTGGCAATTCAACTCGACTGCATTGCATGCCTTAAAACCTTCTTATGGCTACAAAGTTCATAAACATCTATATATCATATTTGTACATGTATGTGGAAGATTTTGTGTACACAATTGCTCAAATTATGATTCTTCTCTTTCATTGGTCATGGTTGAGGGTGTTTTAAGTGAAGTTTACTATAATCTCAAAATTAAGAAGGCAAGTTATCATGATTCCAAAATTATTGTCATTGAATTTTGGGAGTACACTGAAAGAATTCAGATTAAAAGGAGTGCGTTTTTCACCACAGACCTATTGGTACACTTCACATGATTCACAGTGCCTGACTGCGCTGTAAAGCTGCTTACGGTATTGTAACAGAGAAGGTGGGGGAGGGAGGGAGGGATTGGATTCTGACCATCTGGATGTACATGTACAAGGCCATCCAATGAGGGGAGACAAAGAGAGAGAGAGAGAGAGAGAGAGAGAGAGAGAAAGAAAGAGAGAGAGAATGCGTGTTTGTTTGTGTGTGGAAGTGGAGGTGGGGGCTCGTACCACCTCCTTTAATGATGCCTTTGCCTTTGCCTTTCTTTCTCTGGTTTTTCTCTTTTATTTATTTTTTTCTTCATTTTTCTCTGCCTTGTCATTTAGCATAGGAGTTAGCACATATAAACCTCCTCAATAAAAAAATAAAAAGGAAGCTTTTTTGCCTTCACTCAGATTTTCATACCGGTATACAAAATGATAAAGAGGAACATAATTGTTTTTACTGTATAAACATAGGCTATTCAAAAGCTTTCAAATAATTTCACTTTCCATTTCAAGATGCTGGCAGATGAATGAGAAGGAAAACAGATTAAAAAAACAAAAACATATCAGGAATCCACTCATTAATTTGAAATTCACAACTGAAAAAAAAAAAAAAAAAAAAACAAAGTCATCGCTTACTTTTGTAAGTCGCTGTATATTCTTTCGATAAAGTGATGACACCACTTGTTTGCCTAGGCCCATGTTCTGGTCCTTCAAGGGGGAAAGAAGAGAACAATATTTATAAACATTGTATAAATTATAAATACTGATAAGAAACACACCAAGTAAATAAGACACAGAAATGGCTGTGGGCCCAGCAGAAGGAGGTAAATACAGGTTTGGTTAAATTTATCATTTTGTTTTGTTCTGTCAGTATGGATAAAGACGTACATTACATTACTTTATAACTTTGTTATATTGCAATATAAAAAGGTATAAAGTAATGTACATGTACTACTGTTTGGAAGACAGAAGGTTGTTGTTACTATTTAAAGGCATAAGTTAACACCCTTCTAGCTCCAAACAGATGATATAAGGCATATCAGTCAACATAACAGTCTTGGTACTTTGTTATTGACACAGATGAAAAATCATAGGTTTCTAGGATCAATTGAAACGGATTACGCATTGTTTACTCAAAAAGATTATACTTTTATTACTGTGACTCTATATGCTTCTGGACGGCCCTTCAGATTTGTATGAGCCATAAATATTTGAATGTGCTCCTCTAGGGAAATGAAATTTGTATCATCCTAACTTGCTTAATGATACTACATTTTGTATCATAAGCTATAAAGCCATATGACCTGCTACGCCTTGAAAACAGCTTGAAATCATAAATTTCTACCTCTGATGAAATTGTTGGTACTTTTGTTATCAAAAGGTCCTCTCTTTTTTGCCACATTATATCTTATTGAGCCTTTCAAGAATGTTACTTACTCTATTGAGCTGATCAGAATGTTTTTCTAGAACAATGCTCACATCAGATGGGTTGTTGGTTGAGTAAGAGTTGGCAATCTCTTGGTACAGCTGACTCAGTGGCTGAAAGATTCATGAAACAAAAGAACATGCCCATGTTTGTGAGAAATGTAAGAAAAGTATGACATTCATATACTAGGATGTCCTAATCACATGTAAAAAAGGGTAAAATATACATGTACATGTCAGACAACAGGATATAGTTCAGAAGATGTGCACAATGAAGTTTAACTGATCGCTGACCATTCCCATTTGACCCCCAAAAGGCTTTCCTCAACTGGTTTACAAATGATAACATTTCATCTTAAAGGGATCGTTTAACAATGTTAAATCTGAGATACACGGCCCTACGTGTTGTCAGTGTCTGTGATATGGTGTAATATTGAAGCCCTAAAAAAATTGCGCTTCAAAATGATCAAGAAGTGCCTCAAAGAAGTAAAATCTTCAAGTGACCGGTTTTACAATACTCGTTTTCCCCAATAGACTGTAGTGTTATGAAAACCGTCAGGCGAATTACGGTTTTCCAAAATTTGTAATTCCAATCATAAATATCTTGATAATCAGACAAGCGATCGGCTTGTAAAATTCATGGGGTTCCTGACTGACCTAAAGGTTTATAATTGTCATTGCATCATGAGCTAAATCCAGAATTTTGTTTCAGAATCTGAGACAAAGTTACCGGATCCCTTTAAAGCTGAAAAAAATCTTACCAATATTCTGAAATGTATTACAAAGATATGTACATACCTTTCACTAATTTAATAATTATTTACATTAAAAACATCTCCAACAACGGTATTTTGTATTTCATAAATTCTTCATAAATCAAGATTTATTAACTTCCTTCTTTATCAGCGCTCAACTATTTCTTTAATCATGTACCCTGCTTTAAAAAAAAACATGAAAATGGTGACTTTTTAACTCTACTTCTGACACTGAATTTCAATATTTTTTATTTAAACAATGCGATTTGCAACATTTCACTTTTGAATTGGCCCAATAGTCAGGTGTACTGCGCCTTCCATGATTACATAACCATTGCAAATGGGACGTTACTGTAAATGTTACAAATGTTAATCAATCATGTGTATGAAGAAACCAAGGCTCGGCAGAATTACAGCTATTACAGTCGACCTCAAACCACTTCTTGAAAAGTGAATTTATAGTAGAAAAGTGTGGTGAATGCCTTCATGCATGCACGTGTAGTAGGTCCATGTTTAAATGCTAAGTCCACTCCAACAATATTTTGTTTTTAATAGATGCAGAAAAACAAGAGATACACAGCAAACTAAATTTTAATAAAAACGGATAACTAATAAGGAAGTTATAAATTTTTGTAGAAGTATGAAAAACTTAGAAAGACACTACACAAATTGCTATATATATATATATATATATATATATATATATATATATATATATATATATATATTTATCCCATCCACTTTTTATTCCCCAAAAGGGATTTGCCAATCATTTCCTGAAGATATTTTTTTCATTATCATAGATGTTTAATTGGTTGTCTGGTTTTCATCAAACTCCTTTTTTTCTCGGTATTATATTTTAACTCCCATTGTAATACTATATTCCCGGTGGGGTCACTCCCCTGCAGAGAGTGACACGTATGACCGTTACCACAAATGCAGATAACCCCCTTTTGCGGTCAATTTCAAGGACATTTTGTGAGATTTAACCCCCTTTTTTACGTCAAAACAAGGACAAAATCGTACTTTGGAATACCCCTATTTATAAGATTGTAAGGACACTTTCGCAAACTTACCCCTATTTCACCATATTTCAAGGACAAGACTCGGCTCCGAGAATTTTTCTTCCCGGTTTTCTCTTTTCCCTTTTCCTTACCCCTATTTATCAATTTCGAGGACACCTGTGCACCCCTATTTTCTTTATTTCGAGGAATATTTTGTCCGCGGACATTACTTGAAATTGACCCCTTTTTCCGCGATTTTGGTAACGGTCATGCGGTCCGGCAGTCAAATTGAGTGACCCCACCGGGACTATATTATCTAAACAAATAACGTTATCTCTGAACTTTATGCTTTATGTTATCTTTCTTCAGGTTTAATACATGTACCAGTAGTTATTCTCTCTGGAAGACAGTACTATTTATCACCTGCTCTATCATATCGACACCTGATGCTACATTTTTTTGGTCATACAAAATGTTAACAAAGCCTTGATCATAAGCCATGAACATGTACATGAATTTTTACTTATTATATTTACTTATTATCTTGATTAAGGTAATTTATTTCAGGTTCAAGACAAAGGAGAATCAATTCACTAGAGGGGGACCGGGGAATTCGCACAATTAGTTATGAATTGATTGTACATCCTTCGTGTATAAGCAGCATACTCTTCAGCTATATTTACCCCGCTATGAAGATGGTTCAACCCTCCTGCAGAAACATGTCGAGGTGTCAATCATTATTCTCATGTCCTATCAACCAATCACACATGGACATGTAACAAACTGCCACGACGGTATTTTCCATGTTTTGGTTCCCTCTCAAGGTAACAAAACCGGAATATATACTTAAAAAACCTATTTTTAGTCTGCAAAATGGAGCTGTACTAGAATTTGGATCACATAATGAATTGTTTGAATGCTAGTGTGACAACTTTGAAGTATACAGGTACGTTTTCAAATTTATTCTTATGTTATAAAAACCATTTGTTACATATAAAACTGATACACATGTACATGTGTTGTATTGTTTGCTTGGGTAGATACATGTACTAAGACAAAGCAAAGTTTAATGATGCTTTAACATAAATGTAAAGCTTTTGGACAGATTATTGTGTAAAAAGATTTACTCATTTTTCTTCTACTACATATAAAATCACAGTATTATATTGAAACAAAATAGATTTAAATGTTATATCATGGTATAGATATCTAATACATGCTTCTTAACTGAATTCTTATAGGTTTGCAGCTAAAGAATCAACCGGAACCATAGAATCAAAATACGGGTGGACTTTTACTGTGAATTCAGAGAAATACATCCCATTCAACCATCAAGTAAATGGGATTTTACCCTAAACTGACTGGACTTTACTTTGATAAATGTGAATAAGCATAATTATACACTGTAGCCAGAGCCAGTGCCATCTACATGTAGCAGTGAAGGCACACTACATACACATGGAAGGTTTATCATTTCGTGTATATATTCCGGTTTATGAGCAAATAAATTGAAATTGAAATTGAAATTGAACATAGTATATTTCATGGTATAACTTTGAAGATACAGTCAAGCAGAAAAAAGGGGAACTTTCTCAACGAAGATATATTCTGAAAGGAAGTTGCATTGGAGCGTACATATGTTTGAATGTCAATAAACAGTGGCAATACTTTTAATTGGACCTGACCCATTTCCACCATCTTGCTGAATATAACGTTTCGGACAGTTGTTAACAACTTGATACTAAATACAGAATGCCCTTTTTAGGAATTATGATTGATTGATCTTCCTTTGATGCATCTTGATTTCCCAAATCTGTACAAACTTTGATGATATTCTAGTCTTGAGAAGCAATCAGTCAAAATGAATTTTCCAGTCCTTTTTATATTTATTGCCTCTGCCATGTGTAACGTGTGTAAAGCTGAAGATGAATTGAAGACTGTTTTAGAAGGTGCTAGTGTACATCTTCATTTTCCATATCCATGTAACAGTACACGATTGTCACTACAGTATGGAAACAGAGCCCCTTTTTACACATTGGCAGATACAGAATCTATCGTTTTACCACCTGTACAAGTACACAGATTCATTTTCAGGAATGAAAGTGAACATGATCATTGTTCACTAAATGTTACTATCAGCCCTGTAATGAGAATTGATGCAGGAACATACATTTTCTTTGTGTATAGTGAAGATGATATATATCGCAGCTATTTTAAAAGAATTGGACTGGATGTTGAATTTCCGCCTGGTAAGGCATCATGTACACTGAATGAAGAGAGCACAGTTGGGAATTGGGTAGCACTGAATTGCATGGCTTCAGTTGGGAGTTTATCAGGTCAAATTGATTGCTATCAAAATGGAGAAAAGATGCCTCCAATTACATCCCCTACAGAAACCCATAAACATTTGAAGCAAAGCATACATGTAAATAAAAAAACACCCGGTGTTCTGCTGTACTTCTCCCTGGGACCACAGTATAGATAGGTGTGATTGTAATGATTTTCAATGGGACCTAGCCAATGACAACAATCTTAGCTCAGTCATAGATCCATGTAGTCCAACCACATCAGCGCAGCATCTAATAGAGACCAGTGATACTGCGTTCACTTCCTTAAAACCAGTATCCACAATAGCAACAACTAACAAGATCAATTCACTCAATGGTTCAGTGCCATGGAAATATGTGGTTCTGTGTCTTGGTTCTATTCTGCTAGTAGCTGGTTTAGTTAGTCTTGTGATTGCAGAGCTCAGAGCAAGAAACTCAAGAAAGAAATCTCCAAGATATACATGTAAATTTAGATCAGGTCAGGATCAAAGTCTATATGTAACATATGAACGTATGTCCAATATAAATTAATTATTCTGCAAATATTGCATGCTCCGGCGTTCAATTAAAACAAACTATGAACCGAAAAAGTCAGAAATTTCAAAGTGATGTAATATCTCACAAAGGCAACATGCCCAGATTGAATTTGTAATTCAGCATTGCATTCATATGGTTCTAGGACACCTACCCCCTGGACATCCACCCCCAGTCAACCTCCTAGGACAACTATTCTGTAGGACAACTACCCCCTAGGGCAACCACCCTCTAGTACGACTACCCCCCAGACATTTTATGTATTTTTATGATGTTCTTTAATATGATAGAAATGTTGAATTTGGAGGTGCAGATATTGTATATCGACCTGTACTCAACATTACATGAATCTATGTAGGTGACCAATGACCTTCAAAACTAAAACCTTTAAAATCTTTACATGTCATACTTACTCTAAATAAGTTTAACAATGTTAACTCAATTATTCTTAAGGTATCTCGTTCATAAGAATAATTACGGACGGACGGATGGACAACCTAAAAACATAATGCCTCCGGTACTCACCACGTGTGGCGGAGACATAAGGCCTAAAAAAAGATAACATGGCATCTGTAGCTTATTTAGGTGTCAGACATGCATTGGTGTTACCATTTCTTTGTTTTAATTTTGTCTTAATATAATTAGTCTTCATGTCATAGAATTTAAAGTGTTTGAGAAAATATTACCATAAGTTTTATCAAAGGGCTATTCATTTCACAACTAAAAAGATTAATTTTCTTTTCCAAACTGTTAGCTGTACATGTTCTTGGGAGAATTAGAGAGATGCCATCATATTTCCCCTCTGATCCATCCCCATTTTTCTTTCTATTATGGCCTTTTGAATGCATCATCATACCAAAAAACTATTTAAAAAAAATAAGAATCTGGAAGTTTAACCAGGGACTTGATAGAGAAGGACTGGAATCAAGCCGGCGAAACTCTTGTAATTTATTCAACGCATTCATGAGTTCTAAAGCGTAACAATGGGATGTGTAACATTCCACTTGGCTTTGAAGTTCCATGCTCCACACCGCGCTTCCACTGCGGGGACTTTCGGAAGCCAGGCACCAGTTTTACATTTATTACAAAATATTAAATTACCGGCAAAATTTCAGTGTAAATCAAAAACTTTTTGGGGGGATTGTATTGGGAATAGTGCATCAAACACATTTCCAAATTTAGAACTCCGTCCTTCCTATAATTTGTGTGCCAGAGTTGGTAAAAGAAAAATTGCATCCTGACAAAAACTCAATAGTTTAGAATGATGCGCTAATTTGTGCATGTTTTAATGTCCCGTTATTTGATCCATGATTTACAATCTTCAATAACATTAAGTTTGCTAATGCGTGTTTTTGCGTGTTTTTTGTATTTTTGAAGTTGAAAAAAGGATGAAATTACACAAGTTTGTGTTCGCTTGTTCTACTCTTTACACATTCAACAATGGATGAGAAATCATTGAAAGGGACAGCGAACAGTTGCTGTGATACCATTTTCTGATGTAGGAATTCTAAATCCTGAAATTCATGCGCTCTTTTATCTCACCACCTGGTCAGCAGTTGCAGATTAGCGCATAACTTTTCGGCGGCGTGGAGCATGGGGTCAAAGGAGAGCGGCTTGATTCCAGTCCTTCTCTATCAAGTCCCTGGTTTAACCACATCCTGTATGGTCGCTTCTAGCAGCAGTGTGTCATTGTATATAGCTGAGCAAGTACATGTAAACGTACTGAATTCTTCACGACTGAGATTATGATACTTTCTTCAATGCTTGTTTTGTTTTGTAGAATAAAGAAGATGCCAGCAATACTTTCTTCAATGTTTGTTTGGTTTTGTAGAATAAATGAATTGCCAACAATACTTTCTTCATTGCTCGTTTTGTTTTGTAGAATAAAGAAATCGCCGAAAATACTTTCTTCAAAGCTTGTTTTGTTTTGTAGAATAAATGAATTGCCAGCAATACTTTCTTCAATGTTTGTTTCGTTTTGTAGAATAAATGAATTGCCAGCAATACTTTCTTCAGTGTTTGTTTGGTTTTGTAGAATAAATGAATTGCCAACAATACTTTCTTCAATGTTTGTTTGGTTTTGTAGAATAAATGAATTGCCAACAATACTTTCTTCAATGTTTGTTTGGTTTTGTAGAATAAATGAATTGCCAACAATACTTTCTTCAATGTTTGTTTGGTATTGTAGAATAAATGAATTTCCAACAATACTTCTTCATTGCTCGTTTTGTTTTGTAGAATAAATGAATTGCCAACACTATTTCATACAAGGTTGAGTAAAAAGCTATCTTCTTAATGTCCATATACTTTGGATATTTTAACACCAAATAGCTTACAGGAGAATAGTGAACGACACCCTGAATGACATTTTTCTACTGCTACTGTATCACTACAGCAACACAGATAATGAAAAGGAAGCCAACAGAATATTATGCTTGTAATGGGTGCAGCTCCCTTAGACTGCATGTCAGTATACAGCATAAAATATAATGTACCGGTACAAAGAATTATATAAAATAAACCCCAGCAAATGCACAATTACAAAGGAGAAAAAAGAGGGAAGGGGGCAAAGGGGTAATATTGCCAACAATTATTTTAGGAAAATTCTGATCCTTTCTCAAATGTAATTCACCAAGCTAAAACCCCTTAACCAAATACCAACCTTGATGAATCTGCTGACTACTTGAGATGTGTACTTGTGAAGGTTAGGGACCTTGCCATGTTGAATTAGACAGAGTAGGATGAAATTCTTGTATGCCTCTAAGAAAACATAAAATAAATGTAGAAAGATATTCTTCAATATGGGAGGAGTGATTGTGAGCAGGTAAAAGAATTTAGTTCAATCCAAAGATAAAATAGATACTTTCAAGAGGAGATGATGCTAGAACTAAAAGATGATAGCCAGGATCCTGTGAACAATTTTGCACTGGAGTATTAATTTAAGGATATAAATTATATGAACTCACAATTCTGAAAAATTCTGAAAAGAAGGAGCATAAGAAAGAGGAGGAGGATAATAAAACGGCAAAGGAGGAAAGATAAGAAGAAAAAATAACACATACAGGCAAAGAGAAAGAAATACACAGGGAGGAGAGAGACAGAGAGAGATTGAGTATGCGTGTGCGTGCAGGGGTGAACGTGTGTGTGTGTGGGTGTGTGTGTATTGGAATATATGTGAATATATATTTTGTTTGTGTTCTATATTCTGTAGTTTCTTTTTTATCTCCATCCTTTGTATAAAAATTACATTCTTTATATTCACCTTGCCATATCGTTTAATGTATGTATTTTGTTGATTATAGGACCTCGCTCACAAGCTTAGCTTCTACAGGGGTCCTAAAACCATTCATTTAATGATGTAATCAATATATGCTAATTAATGTACTATTACCAGTCTTTTTTTCATGTAAAAGATAATATCATGTTTTGTGTGGTTTTGAATAAATGAACTTGAACTTGGACTTGATGTCACCTATCTTCGCTCCAGTGATCTCAAGTCAGCAGACAGTAAGAAACTGTATCAATAATCACTTGGCTTGAGAAAGTCCACATGGGTTTATAAAAAGTTTGCCTGTTAAAGTTTTGTAGAAGCTTGAATACATGTTAATTTTTTAAAATGATAAGAATATATTTGCAGTTAACACACCAGAAAAGCTATAAAGTATTGTATGTTGGTACCTCGCCGCTGAATGTGAATCAATAATAAATCATATATTCGGCTATGACCTCGATACTTGAATATGAGGCTATTCGGGCATCTCGTTGCACAGATTTTGTTAAAACCACATTTATAAATATTACAAGTGTAGTAAAAATGTAATTTTGAAATAAAAGATTTGATACGATTATATTCGGATTCCTCGCTGTTAAAATGTCGCCAGCCAGCAAGAAATCACAAATTCAAACAGTTTCTGAAATTAGTTATCACAAAATCAACGTTATTCCAATTTTTGTTGATGATCTAACTAGATTTCTCTTGCGGCATCCCGGTTGTGGTTATCTCTCGTCATGCCACCTAGATTGACTAGCAACTCTGGAAAAGGAGGATCCCGGTCCAGATCCAGATTTCTTCAAATTTGCTGGTGGAGGCAACCCCTTTAAAAAACTTTCTGGTGGACCTGTCACTTGCAGTAAAATGTTTCACATATCTTCCCTTAGCAAAACGGTGATGGAGTGTACCTAGGGCCTGATTTAAAGACTCTCGCGGTTTGAGAAAAAAGGCAACCTAAACCGAAAGAGATAGAGGCCACGTCCTTCATTGACCTTGGACAGTTGCTATTGGTCTCTGTTTCGAAGCCAGTGGCCTTTTTCGCGCAAGGGCAAACACTTGATTCTGATTGGTTGAAAGTCAAAATGGGTTTGATCGAAGGATGTTCAGCAGTGGATCCTGAAAGAAGCAAGGAGGGGCATGTGCCCTCTATACCTACTGAAAAATTTCATAACTCATTTTTAAGAGAGGAGCTTATCACACTAAATTCCAGTTTGCAACCTCCCTCCTCTTCAGCCATATATCGCCTGGATCCGCCATATCGTTAGGTCACAACTTGTTATTCTTTTCATTTAACGGTGCTGGTAGGCGACTTCTATCATAACTATGGCAATAACAAACTTAAGGTCGAATTCAGAATAGAAATATTCTTAGCTAAACTCAAAGTATGACAAAGACAGACACATGAACTAGATATAAACCCCCATTCTTCTCTCTCTCTCTCTCTCTCTCTCTCAGTCACTATACTCTTTCCCTAAATCTCTCTTTCTCATTAATATACTCTCTCAATAAAAGCATATCATGATCCACTTCAACAGAATGATGACAGATTTTAAATTACACAATCCTCTCATTTATCCATATCCAACATCAAATATAACAATAACCCAGTTCTTTTTTTACACAAATGTGTTCACACAAAAGTGACATATATTTATTATCCTTCAATCCTTTCCCTCCTTCATATTCATCATCTGTACGTTATAATTGCAGTTGAATAAAGTAGCTTTAATAATCAGAAAACAAGATGCGACTCATTCAAATACTTGTAAACTAAAGGTTAACATATCAAAGGACATAATACAAGAGGATACAGGAAGATAAATTTCACATTTCCCTACAAACAGGCATCTATAGATTAGAGACTTTAATAAGTACCATGTAATAAGTTTCTCCCTCTCTTGAAAAGACCTGGATTTTTCAACTTTTAACAATATTTGCCCACCTTTTTATTGTCATTGCCCACTTTGCTTCTTGAATTGAATCAGAAAAGTCTCTTCTTTACCCTCACGTTTCAGAACTTTCCAACAAATACAGCAAATGCATTGATTTCAATAGCTTACCAACTCATCAACTCTTGTCGCTAGTTATCCGTATCAAATTTCATGAAACTTAACTCTGGAGCTCAAATTCAAAATAAATTGATGGAAAAATATATGCCCTGTACATTGTCTGCTTAGACCCAGAAGAGTGTAAACTCTTAAAAGTATATAAGTTAATTTTCTTCTGGTTCCAAACATACAATATCATTAACCATATCATTCACAATGCACCTTTTTAGTAACACTCAAAAGAGCTCTACAAATATATGTACATATGTGTTCCTATAAATTCTGGAATTGAATGGCAAATCATGAACATTAAAATGACAATAAGATGTGCACAATTTGATTCGCAACGACTGAATTAAGAAATTGGGGATGCTTTCTGACTTGTGGTTTTCATCTCAATCATTTTCCACCTTGTAATGTCCTGTGTATTCAGGTAGTAGCTTAGGTTTGAATGTTCCTTTTACATGTTTTGTTTTGGTTATATTTGATACAATATTTGGCAAATTTATTATAAAAAAAAAAATCAGTAATTCAGATACACTTTGTGAAGTTTTATTTTCTGATATCAAAATGAGATATCATATGTGACGATCACTTGGAAATTTTAAATCACAAAAAAATTAAAATCATTAAAATACTGGTTGGACAAGCAATTTACATAATTTCTGTCCTAAAAGCATGTTCATTGAATTGTACCTCAATATCATATGCTGTTATTAATCTGTTTTGAAAGAATACAGTGAAATGGAGAACATTTACACAGGTCTGTATTACCACTGCTTCCAAAATGTATGGAGAGGAGAGGGGGAGAAAAAAAAGAAGAAATGGAAGGAAGGATTTGGGGGAAGAATTAAAGAATAACAGTCTACAAGATTGCCACGGATTCAGGTTACACGTTATGATACCTATTTCTGTTACACACCTTGGAGAAATACATCTTTATATGGCATTTAAGCTCAAGTTTTGTCATGATACTCAAGAAGCTGTGTTTATAAACATGCCAAACCATTGGCAAGTCTCTAAGATCCTAAACAAGCTCTGTGTAACTGCAGTGAGCAACTAAATTACATGTGTATATGCGGTTATTTCTTCAGGAATACACACTTTACGTGTAATGCATGAATGAAACTTTGTTTTCTGTACAGGAAAATGTTAAATGACTTGTTACTTTTCGAGAAAAAGAAAGATAACAATATCAAGTCCCGCTGGTTCCAAGATTTTTTCTGACTTGTTTTTCAATACAGATCAATCAATCGATCTTATTTACTGGGTGTAAGCCACAAATATGTTTAAATAACAATATCATGTAGGGTTGAATTTTGAAAAAAGGGTTGGTATATATAAATAGGTTATGTCATTCTTCTGTTTTCCTGTTTCCCGCAGTTCACAAATCCACCATGATTATGTACATTCAGCTATACAGTGTGTCCTATTTCCCTCCAAAGACTCCGCCCACTTCATCGTCTTCTCGTACTCCCATGCTCTGTAGAGGGCAGAAGAGACAAACACATCAGACATTGATGGAAATGAAAATGAATGAGATAATTATAGCCTGGTAATTTTGAGGAATCAGTGGGGAGGCTAAGCCTTCAGGTCAACCTCTAAAATGTAGTGTTTATGAAAGATTTGTTGATTTTCCTGATTTGTGGATATGCCTGTATGTGAAAAACTACAAGATATACAATTGGACTAAAAAAAACAAGAATGGCCCGACAAATCGCCCCTAGGAGTTCTATCGTTTGAATTTTCATCCATCATCTTCAATCCCAACCACCCCCTCTTCGAAAAGTATCCCCGGACATGTCTCACCTTTTGAACATACTGTGGATTAACAGCTATTTCTTGATCCATGCTCTTAAGCTTCTCATCTAGACTGATACAATGCTGCATCTGTGATGAAAAATTAGTAATTCAAAATAAAAACATGACAGAATATAAAACATATTATCATGGACTTGAAAAACTATTTTGACTCAAACTCCCTGATTACTAGGACTCAGCCCCCTCCCTCCCCCCCCCCCCAAAAAAAAGTACCGGTACTGGGGGGAAATGTTGATAACTGCAGATGGAAAAAAAGAAATCATATGAGTTTATGTCGTGACAGTATTTGTAAGGAAATATGCTGTTTTTGTGTAATGATCTTTCAAAAATGTACGACCTTCGTAGCTGCCTAGATACAGAAATTAACATTTCTCCCAATTATGCTCTGTTAATTTGCATGAAGTTCATTATTGCACTTTGTATTTGAATCAATAAGTGCCACTCTTTATGAAGACTAAATGGGATTTGTATTCATTTGTATTCAACATCATTTAACCATTTCCAGTGCAAGATCAGCCTATACCAGTGTAAAAAAAAAAGGTTGTCATGGAGGTAATCAAGACCAGAAATGTTTATTTTTCAAAGTCACAAAATAGCACATGTGGCAAATCAGTGACCGTGCAGATATGCACAGAAAGTGATAAACTAGATGGAACTTTGACTGCGCGCAGTCGAAAATGATGCTTCCGCCATAGAGCGATATCACAAACCAAAGCAGAAACAATTTTTCAAATCCAAGTTTAATTGTAATCCATTAACAGGTTCTAAGAATATCGTGATTACAAGCTATTTTTCATATACATGTATGACCCTTTTATCTTTGACCTCACGACCCTAAAATCGAATCAGTTCATTGGCTTTGCAAGATACATACATGTTTTGAGTTTGACGGTAACCGTCCATTGGTTCTACTTCTAATAGTAATGCGATCACAAGCTCATTGGCTCTGCAAGATACATACATGATTTAAGTTTGGTAGAAATCAATCAAACGGTTCTTGAGATAACGCGATCACGAGAACGGGACGTACATACGAACGGACGGAAAACCCGAAAACATAGTGCCTCCAGCTACTTCGTAACGGAGGGCATACAAATTGATAAAAGATATATCAAGTGAGGCAGATGACATCTAAAGGCCTGTACATGAACTCCCAACTGATAACATTTCCTAACTTGTTTACAGCTGTGAGGATAAGAATTCATCAAAATACCAACTTACAGACCCCAAAATCCAATGTGACAAATTACAGGATTTGTGCTAAATTAAAAAGAATAATTATATGAATAAAATGCTATACTTTAAAGGTAATACAAAGTTTTGGTATGGGGTCATGAATTTGGTTCAAATGACCATATTGGAAGCATATACGATCTTACAATATTCAGTGATCGTTGTCACAGTTGAAATCGAGCCTGAAGTTATGAAATTGTCCCGATCGCCGCGAAAATTTGCATACATGTCAAGTGAAGTATAGAACACTATGGTAATTTCAATTTTTTGAAAAATTCACTCATTTGCATATTTATGGTAATTTATGCAAATAAGGTCATAAAATTCACATTTTTGCCCATAAATCAGACATTATTCATATTTAAACATTCTTTCTCACTACATATATTTGTTAGACCATTTGGAATAATAATACAACACAAAAAATTGAAAAACCAGGGTTATTCCTTATGTTATCTATTGTTTTGATAATTTCTTATGTATTTCGTTGTTTTTTTAACTTATCTATTTTATTGTTTTTGTTGTTTTTATTTCATTTTCAACTATAATTCAACTATTTTGACCCCAAAATAAACATCTAAACTATAAACAAGACCAAATAACCAATGTTTTATCTCTTAATTTGAAAAATGAGATTTCCATATGTTTTGTACACAAATCACAAAAATGAGCGATTTTTGGGCTGACATGCTAAGACAAAAGGACATGTGACTTTGTAATGGGAGGTCCGATTTTCGAAAAATTTCTTTCAAAAGATGCGCAAGACTCGAAAGAAAAAAGTCACAAAATTTCGGTGCAAGATTTTTTTGCGTTAAAAAATAATCGTGAAAAATAGGGTTAAAGCTATGGCTATAAATGATGCTTTGGCATTCGTAGAGAAAATTGGCTAACCTGTTGTTCGACGTGTCTGAGTACTGCAGGGTTGTCATATTTCTCTGGGTTGTCATGGAAATGGACCATTCCATTCTGTTTGCTGATAGTTGCATGGATCTCACCATCTTCAATCTGAAATATATTAATCATATTTGTTTATTACAATTCAAAGTACATACAAATCTCTTTGAGGCACCATTGATTTTAACCAAAAAAATTACACTTCCAGTGTAATTTGCACTTCAAGCAAAATAAAAATTTCATCTCCATTATCAATTTAGACTAAAAAAATTCGAATTTTAACATTTATTATCTCATAGCCATTTCATCAGATGATAATCTTTTGTAAGCCTTCAGTCAGGTACATGTACATCTTTATCTATCTTCAATTGGATCCCTAAACCCAGTTCCAATTATAGAGCAATGCATATTGCAAGTTGCTCCGTAACCACTCTACAAAACCTCTCAAAATGTTTTCCGTCATCAAAATAAAAATGAGAAGAACAAATAAATGAGAAACTTTAAGACTTTTATTGATTGGTATTGAATATAATTGTATACCAGTAGTTCTGCAAATCAAATATTTTTATAATGAGTGTTTTACTGATCCAATTTTCTAGTTGGGCAAATGCATCCTTATAGGCCCCATTTTCATTTCATCACTCTGTACGGTTTTTCAATTTTTCCCAAATAAAACTTAGCTTTCTTACCATATTTCTGACATACTGCTCAGCCTCTTGCGGTGCATGTAGATGAACTCTCCTGGCGATGTCACTCAGAGATAACGTTAGAAAGGTCTGAAGAGAAACATCAATACTGACAATGAACATCCCCTACTGTACAACTCAATTCTCACATCTACTTCACTAGTATGTCGCCCTCTTGTGTAGCAATTGAACTCGACTGCATTTCGCGCCTTAATTTTCTTTTTAATGGCTCCAAAGTTCAAAAAATCTATCATGTATACATGTACATGCGTAAGATTTTGTGAGACAATTGCTGCAAATATGATTCTTTTCTTTTAGTGGTCATCATGGACAGTGTTCAAGGAAGTATAAAGTTAAAATTAAGGAAGGCAACTTGTCATTATTAAAAAATTATAGTTAAAGAATCTGGGCTGGGCAATCATCTATGACCCTGAAAAAAAATTGGGCTAAAGGGAGACCACCCATAGGAAAGTGAAAAGTATGCCGCAGACCTGCCGCAGACTTTTAGTCTGCGGCAAAGAGTATGCCGAAGTATGCGGCAGAAAGAAATTTTGCTGCAGACTTGCCGCATACCAGTATGCCACAGGAACAGTCTGCGGCAGATCTGCGGCAGGATGAAATTTTGCTGCAGACTTGCCGCATACTAGTATGCCACAGGAACAGTCTGCGGCAGATCTGCGGCAGGATGAAACTTTGCTCCAGACTTGCCGCATACTAGTATGCCACAGGAACAGTCTGTGGCAGATCTGCGGCAGGATGAAATTTTGCTGCAGACTTGCCGCATACTAGTATGCCACAGGAACAGTCTGCGGCAGATCTGCGGCAGGGCGAAACTTTGCTCCAGATTTGCCGCATACCAGTACGCCACAGGAACAGTCTGCGGCAGGTCTGCCACAGGAAATCCCATTAAAGTCTAATAGGGCCAATTGAAACCAATCATCTCATGCATATTCATTATTACTTTACACGTGTGACAGAAAAATACATTTATCATGATTTGTTAAGCAAATTAAGACAATGCACATCATTTTTGTGATTTCTATTTTCCTTTTGTCATTATTAACCAATAGATTATTTTGTCTGATCATGTTACAATTACATTCACGTTTAAGCAATAGATATATTGATTACTAACCAAGAAACTATGATTACTAACCAAGAAACAATATACATATTTAGTATATACACCTGTATATGTGTACGAGCCTGTGTCACTTTAAATGTTACTCTTGAATACACTTCAAATGATCAAAGTGATGAAGTTAATACAATTGAGAATAGAATATACCTAATTGGTAATATC